GAACCGCTGCGATATAATTCAGCAAATGAGACATTAGAGCCGTGATTATGACCAGAGGATGTCAGCAGAAGACGTGAGTGGGAGCTAAAAATGCAGAAAGCTGGAGAGCTGCTGACAGTAAACGCCCAGGACCAATGGCCAGATATGTGCACGTACATGGTTAAAGACCAAAGCAAGGAAGAGCAATTAGCCAATAAATGAATTAGGGCCCTGCGGACGTTCTATTGTCATCTCAAATCATTTATCTGAACCCTCGTCTCCTGTCTTCAGAAAGCACTGTTGCCTGTGTCCGTAAGTGAGAATGTGCTTCAATGTGCACAAGGAGGTTTGGTTTTCTTCTGCCTTCCATCACAGAGTGGGGTTCCAGATCAAGAAATAATTTGATATTGTAACAGCTGGAATCAAGGCGTGGGATCTGCCTTAAGGAACAAGTGATTCTCGCTCCTGATGTCACTCTAGCCCGGACCCAGATTCATGGATTTGCTAATTGGCATAGCCACTTTATAATGACAATAGACAGAACGTTACGGAGTTGGTGACACTCTTTATCAGCAAGTCCCAATGGTTTACACGGAGAAAGACAAGGGTTGCACCTCAGTATGAAATACAGGTACAGCTTCCACTGCCCGTCATAATCAAATCACCCTCCTCCCATTAGCTATTGCATTCTCCCAGATTCTTAAGTAAGAAAGGCCGATCTATTTGTTGTATTTTCAAGTTTTCAAAGTGACAAGTCTGAGAAGGCAGGTGGTCAGATGGTTCCCCCACGTCCCTTTCCGCTATAGAGTATGCCCTCTTCCCTGGGTCCCCTCAGCTGCTGTGCAGACTTTGGCCCTGCTCTCTGGCCAAACAGACTGCCTCCCGGGCGTGGGCAGAGGGTATACAGAGCGCTGGGCACGGGCAGCACTCATTGAAGGACCCCCAGTACTGAGGGCCCCAAACCGTTTTACGCTCGAGACGGGCACTTCGGATTCTAAAGGTGATTGTCAAACACCTTGGACCGCCGTTGCTGTGCTCAGGGGACCCTCCCCAAACCCGAGTTCTACAATCAAGCAGACTGCCAGTGCCTGGAGTTTATACTATAGGAAAGGCTCGGGAGCCCACTGCACAGCGCTTGAGAAAAATACCCGAGAAGGACAAGGGCCGACAAACAAAGGGAAGGATAAATTATGGAGGGGAGAGAAGAGGCTCAGAGCAGCATGGGGCAGAGAGGAGGAGCCTTCCCGAAGATGACTGCCCATCCAGACGGCACAGCTGATAAGTGACATGATTAATGGCAATTTAAATCAATTGCACTCATAATTTTAAAAATACATATTTATGTGGCTTTTAAGGCACATCAAACCAAGAAAGTATCCTAGCTGCTGTGACCAGCTTACCCAGAGTTGGGGGTCAGGGAGCAGGGCTGGTCTACCTGCATCCCGCAAAGCAGAAGGTTATGCAGCTGCTTTTCCCCTGTTTGTCATTTGGGGGTTTGATAAACCACACCTCGCCCACCAGCCCCTCCTAACTTTTACTCTATCCCCAATAATGAACTGTAGAATAACACACCTATAAAGCTGTCCATTTAGAGAAAAATCCAAATCAAGGAGTGCTACTCATCAACTCTCAGAGTCCTAATCAGCCGCTGCTAAGATTTCTATTTTTTTCTCTCCCAGTTTCAGGAATCAAAGAGGCTGTGTGGCCACAGAAACCAAACTGCCTATCAAGGATAACCTTGCAAAGTCCCCCAAAGGCAGGCGCCGTGGTGATACGAGGCCTCCTGGCTGCCCAAGTGCCTGGCTTACCTTTATGTCTGGCAAAATAGCGCCCCAGGATGATGAGCAAACACAGCATGGCAAACACCACCACGGCCACGACGCCGCCAATCACGGCGTGATCCACTGCCCTGATCGCGCCTTCTTCACCTGCTCGAGAATCTGTTGAAATCAGAAGAGGAACAGGGATGTAGAGGGTATCATGAGACACCAGTAGCCCTGGCGACACTGCCTCCGGGGTCAGAGGTCACCTTCTTTCTTAATGGAAGAGTCAGAGAGAACAGTCAAGACGGATCAAGTTCCACCGAGGGGACCTGCTCAGTGCTGCATTGATCTGTGCTCCCCTCAAGGCATTTCATTCTAACCAGCATCGGATGCTAACGCATGTAAACAAGCTTAGGGAGCAGGGAGAGAAGAAATAGAGCCTGTCCAGTCCTGACCTGTTCTTGGCATTCCCTCTCTCTGTATCCAGCTGCGGATCCTATTCAGGAGGCCGACCTAACTATTGAAGGGCGCTCAGAATAGCACCTTCAGGCCGTAACGGGAACTGTGGAGGGCTGGCTGGAGCATCTTTCTAGAGATGCCCAGGGACTTATTCCCTGCCAGGCATTTGCACGGGAAAAGTAAGGAGCTCAAAAGCCCCAGCTGCCTAGAGATAAAACAAGGATTAGGGGACTAGAGGCAAGTGACATACCTGCTACATTTGGGATGTATGAGGGAGTAAGCCTCAGTCTAAAAACCTAAAAACCTATTTCAAAAAAGACAGCGAGGAATAATTGTCCATTGCCACAGATGGTTTTTCTTTTATTTATTTAACACTTCACGATGCAATTAATTTTCCTTTATAAGCATCACTCCCTCGGGGTGTCTTCTTTTGACTGGGGAACACCTCCAAAGTGAACCCCGAATGAGCTATGGCCATGCAGAATGGATGTATGGCCGTGTAAACAATTTTAATTTAGGAATGTGTCTACATCACCCCTTGCTGAAATCCTAATGGCACCCGAGATTTATAATGTAGTAAAAAACAATTATTCTCCCGTTGATTAATACATTAACATTTTGGAGTGGAAGCTAAACCATTGTCTTTTTTTTTTTAATTGAGTCAAGTATGACACCTCCATTAAAATGACTTACTAGCTGCACCTTACAATTTAAGCACAGCAGCAACAGAAACGGTAAAAAACTTTTAACTTTACATGATTTGTGAAGTCATATGTGAAGGATTTACCATTTAAATCTTTCAGTACAGGAAGCACATGGCCTATAAATCTGTCCTCGTAGCAGTTGCTGGACGCCTAAGAGAAATGCATTTCACCAGGAAGACGGAGAGTGCAAATTCGAGTCAATTTTTAAGAAAGATTTATCTCTGTCTCTCTCCAAAGAACAGAGCAAATCTCTGAAGCCTCCACCTCTAATAATATTTGAAGTTTATCGATCAAGTGTACAGATCCGTGACAGCTAAAGGTAATGGTGCTCTTTTGAGCCGAAACCTGATACAACGCTCTCAGCAGGAGGGCATGATTTACACTTTCTATCGATATTTCCAATTCTGCTCTGAGATTAAGTACTGAAGGATGTGGGGAAATAACTCGTGACTGAGGGTTCCATGAAAAGTGCTTCAATTAAGAGTTTAAATTAAAAAATGAAGTATTTAAAGTATTTCATTAAGTTACCTTTGAAAGGATGACCAAAAAAAAAAAAAAAAAGAAAGAAATCCCAAATCCAAACCCAAACAGAAGTGCCAAATCAGAGGCAGCAGCGGGTCATCCAGGACAACAGGGTGAAGGGAGTTTAATTGGAGAATGGAGATGGGTTGGAGGCGGAGTGCACTGCAGCCAATTAGCCCACTCCGTGATGTGTGGGCCCCTCCAGCCACATGTCTAATAAGCTCCACTTGAAATGTGGCAGAGTGGAATCTCCCTCCGCAGCCCAACATGCTGCCTACTGCAGAGGCAACAGCCTCTGTGTCTTGAAAGTCATTTCAACCAGGCAGAACTCAGCTACGGAAACGTTTTTTTTTTTTTTTTTTCTTTTAAGACAACAGAGCTCGTTGAAGGGGAACGTGCCCTGGAGGGTGCCCCTGGACACGGGGTATCTGCTGCAGGATGGTGCTTTACACGCTGGAGACTCTCACCCCAACTGCACATGTTCAAAATTGCTCACGGGGAGACCAAAGTCATGGAAAAGCCAGAAAGTTTGCTTTCCTTAGGGAGCTGACAAAATAGGGGACCTTGTGGGAATGAGAATTAACTCATCTCCAGTGGCCATGAGCTTCAGACCTATTGAGAGATAAGGCTCTTTCAACTAAGGCTCTTTCAACTAACTCCTTGTGTCTTAGAATTGGGTGAGAAAAGCAAAGTGATGCCAGCTACTGAGCAGCGGGGAAAGTTAGGTACAAGAGGCGAGAGGTGAAGAGAGGTCCCATCCCAGGCAGACGGAGGGGAGGGAAGCTGCCCCAGCATAGGCTTAACCCACCGGGGGAAGCACTCCCCTGTCCTCTGTTACAGGACTGACTTCTCCATGCCTAGGCACAGGAACATTCTAGAAGCCTAGGAAAAGAGAGCCAGAGAGAGAAGAGGGGCGAGGGAGGGAGATAGGGAGGGAGTAGAGATGAGGAAGGAAGGGGAAGCTCTGTGATAAAGAAGAACCAACCAACCAACCTCACAGGATACATATCTGTGGGATTAATTTTTCCAGCCAAAACCATTCTTTTCACCTCTGCTCCCCACGAACTCAGAGCTGAAGAGGCTCAGTGCGGTTCTTTCCTCCCTGCCCTGTGCCCGCATTAAATACCTGGGTTCTAGTTATCTTCCCTACCCTCAAGGACATACACATTTTACAGATACTTATTTATAGGGGTAATCTCTCCTGCTATCTTCTGATACTCACTTTGATCAGAAAGTTTACTACCACCAGTGAATCCCTGAGACATCTTTCCTGCCTTCAGTTACTGCAGACGGACCCAGAAGGTAAGTGATGCTGAATTTACAGGGCACAGTGTGGGTTGCAGCTCTGCCCCGCCTCTTCCCACCCCTGGTCCGCCCCGGGGTTTACTGCAGCGGGCACTGATGCAGTCCTGGCCATCCTCCAGTGCCTGGCATGGCCTGGCGTCCGCTATGAAGAGTGGCGCTGTTTCCAGACCCGTCTCACTCCTTTTTGTGTGTCCACGTGTGGGTTGGGTGGGGAGTTTTTACAGTGCCGTTGATTGGTCCAAGGTGGTGAGGGGCACAGTTGAAGGCTGGTTACCTACCGCTAGATGCTGTGGACTGGTGCCTGGCTCACTGCACGAAGCAGTAACACAAGATTCTACACAGAGAGGCACCGGGCTGAAGGAGTAGGATGCAAACTGGAACCCAGGGTAGTATCAGCCACCAACAGGAGCACAGCTCTGACAAAGTCCATCGGCCGTGTAGCCTTTCCTGTTCTGCTCACAGAGCAAAAGCTCCGGCCAGTTCCGTGAGCGATTACCTCGAAGACAAAACCCTGGGAAAGTCTATGACTTTCACCATCATCCACAGATCCTTCTCTTGGGGTGCAGACCCTTTCCCTCAGGTCCCATGAACTTGACGGGGGACATCCTCTCCAGATTTCGGGCTGCTTTTCTGAATCAGGCAGAGAAGGAAACCTACAGATTCTACAGCTGTCCTCAGCTCCTACACTGAAAAAATCAACATTAGCAACATGCCCGATCCTCAGGCAAGTGGACAGCTCTTTGGTTTAGAGGGAGTGTTTTCCTGTCTCTAAGAGACACGATTGCTCCTCTCTGTAACGGGCGTAACAGTGTTCGTCCTGCTGGGACTTAGCTTGTCCCCATCACCGCAAAGAGGAAAGCCACGTTTTGACTTGGTGTACATTTATGGCACAAAGGTTATTCCAGCCTTGAAGAACCAAGCAAGTTTGGGTGACACATTCCGAATGGAGTGTGGAATGCCATCCCGGATCACTTCACACGGGACTTCAAGTAACTGAGGCGTTGTTCTTCCATGAACCTGATTTTCAGGGGGACTTTGTAGATGCTGGGAAGTGTCAACTCAGAGTTGGGGCACAGTCCTTCCTGCCTGCACTGTCCTGTGCTGCAGCCCCGTCTAAGGCTCTAAGTGTAACACGAGACTCTTTAAGGACAGCTCAGTCAAGAACTGTTTAGTATTCGTGAGTTAGCTCTTCTTTGGGCCAAAAGCTGGAACAACTTGGCTCCAGGTGAGGGTTTACGGAGCTGCTTGCAGAATGCTAAGTTGGCTACCACTGCTTGGGTCACAGCTTCAACCACATGGGGTTCCCATTAGCATCTTAGAAACCGCCAGGACAAGAAAATTCAAAGACTCTCCCAAGAGTGATGCCCCAATCTGCTCAGTTTTCTTTACTTTGGGCCAGGTGGCCTGGCTTGATCCTTTCCTCGTGGGCAATATGCAAGGGGGAGTTCTGAAGACGCTCGTTCCTTAGGGCCTGACAAGAAAAGTGACTGCTAGTGGAACTTCAGCCTCCTTCCCCTCCCTGCAAGGGCTTCCTTTTCTCTGCTTGTTCTTACTCCTCAAATGACTGAGTGCAGGGTCTCCGGCAGTCACGCTGCCTAACAGATCCCGGTTGCTATGGCTACTTTACCACCTGGCACGGGATGCCTGACATAAACTGCCATGTGAATGCCTTAATCATGGATCTGTGAAAAGCCTGGGAGGCTCTGTTGCCCGAGGCAGAGATCCGTGGATAGCTAGGGAATGGCCAGGATGTCCTAGACAAGCTCCTGGCAGACAGCGACGTTGGCAGAGGGGCTGCTGAGCAGACTGCCCACTGCAGCTGCAGCCGGCCTACCTTCAGCCCAGGCGGACACTAAGATTGCCACCTCGGAGGAGCTGAAGTGTGATTCAGTAATACGGTTCAAGCACATGGCGGAGGGCGGGAGGACCACCCTGCCTTGGCTTTCCTTCACCTTTCAACCCACCCTTGGCCTGGGCTAGAAAGCACGTTTAAGAACTTGGGGAGAGCTAGACACTCCCCTTAAATGCACATACTATTTTTAAACAAAGGTTATAAACTACCTGAGGTCTCATCTTTAAAATTAATACCTAAAACATAGAGGAGGTTCTAAGGAGATGGGTCTTCCTACCTCTATTTATTGGACAATTCATATGTTCAACCTTCTGTAATTTCTCTATCGATGAATA